TCTGAACTCGAGTGACCAGGAGAACATAAATCAGGAGGAATTTAAACTGCGCCTGCCTCCCCGGGGAGTACACTCGCCAAGATGAGGGTAAAATACTGAGTTAAGAGATAGAAATATGTTCTGAGGTAGAAAGTTACCGAGTTATCTGAACACTAGAACACCCTGTTGTGCGAAGAATTTTCAACGAATCAGATATTAATGGGGATTCTTTAAATATAAATAAGACACAGACAAATGAACAATGCAGTAAATAATGTAATATTTATGCCATGCTAAACTACCTACGCCTATAATAGTGACAAATGAATCAATGCTAGATGTCGCTTTCTTACTAATTGCGCTACTTGTTAATTACCGAAGTAATTGATGATCTATGTAGCTAATAATAGGGTTGAAATTAAACCACTTATTACGCTTGAACTGCTGGTTCGTATATTTGAACTAAGTATGAACTGTGAAACTTGAACTGAATGAACTATGATTCTGAACTGTGATTCTGAACTCTAATAACAAAATAAATTACACTCTTATAGTATTTGCTGTAACGAAACCATAGCTTGAATTTAAATCGGGCAACGCCATCTATCGAGCTATGAGACAACTCGTTACAATAAAATATCCTTTGAACTAAACATACATATTATTACATATCTGATGGTCTTGAACATACCGCCCACCAAGGACATTTAGTGGCGGAATGTCCTTCTTCACATTTGTCCTTGAACTTATAATACAAGTAAATAAGTAATATAAAAATATTTTTTTTTTCATAATAAAATTTTGCACATGTTTAGTCAAAATACAATTAATTAACTGATAAAATCACAACCGTTGTTCTTAACATAACATAAAACTTAACCATTCTTAACAAAAGTATAAATGACCTTTGTAAACATAACAGTGAACTTAAATAACTAACAAAACTAGTAAATACAGTGAGTACAATCTTCAATAAAACTATATAATTATGTACTTAAAATAAACCTTAGACCTAATACAAACAATGTTTATAACGCATGAGTGGAGATGAGTAAAAGCATGTAATTATAAAAATATACACTATTGATCTGTTACTGGCAATATGCACAGTTTGCTAGTTGGTCTCTTGATAGTGCTCGTTTTGGTTTTTAGTGTGACAACACGAGTGACCTTATCATCTCCTGGATGTTTTTGTAGTACACGTCCTAGCATCCAACGACTGGGAGGAAGATCGTCCTCCTTAATTAGAACGACGTCTCCGATATTTGGTTCAGGAACAATAAGTGACCATTTATACCTGTTCATTAAAGTGCTTAAATATTCAGTAGACCACCGCTTCCAAAATGATTGCAGCATTCGCTGCACGAATTGCCACCTTGTTAGAGAACCTACTGAGACATTCTCATAATTGCAATCCGGTGCATTAATCAACGGTTCTCCGATTAAAAAATGTCCCGGAGTCAAAGGCTTTGGTTCTCCTGGATCGTCTAAATGAATAATGCTAATAGGCCGTGAATTCAAGCAAGCCTCGACCTGAGTAAGAAATGTACTGAGTTCTTCGTATGTGAGACTAGATACAAGACGGGGAATACTAACTTGTTGTATAGGTGCCACACGAGTCTTTGCAGTCAACAATGACACCTTGACCTCTCCTACGTTATTAGTAAGTCGCATGTATACTACAGCGGAATATGCTACTTTTGACGCGTCACAAAATCCATGGAGCTCTACATCGGATTCTACGGTTTTGCCCAACCAACGAGGAATATGAACTTCGGTCAGTAAAATCAGTTCTTCGCGGTAAGTACGCCATTCTTCTGTTAATTCCTTCGTAAGTGGTTCGGCCCAACCGAGCCCCGCAAGCCATAATTTGTGTATAACGATTTTAGCTACAACTATTGTTGGCGCTAGCCAACCCAACGGGTCGAATAATCTAGCTATATCTGAAATTACAGTTCCTTTAGTTGCAGGTGTATTCTGAAGCGGCGGGAGATGGACGGTGTACTGAAAGGAATCTTCATTCCGATCCCAGGTAAGTCCTAAAATCTTCATCGTATTATCTGATTTCATATCTAATTCTTTTTGATCTTTCCCTCTATTCTCATTTTCTTCTTTGTTCTCTACCGTTTGTTCTCTTGCGTTAATTTGATCTAATAACTCTTTATTGTTAGTGTTCCACTTTTGAAGCTCGAAACCTCCCTTTGCTAAAAGACGTTTCATTTGCTGGTAGATTTCGATTCCGGTAGTGACGTCATCACATCCGGTCATTAAATCGTCCATATAGTAGCATCTCAATACTTTCTCGGCCACGAGAGGGTTATCGTCGCCTTCGTCGTAAGCAATCTGATGGAGAGTTCTAACCGCCTGATAAGGTGCCGACGCTGTTCCAAAGGTAACTGTTACGAGTTCGTAGTCTTCTCTTACAACGGCGTGATGTGGTAAGTACACGGCTATTTTCCTTTTATTGTGATCTTGATTTACAGGTCGCAGGTGTCCTAAACGTAAGTATTCTTCTATTACATCAGAGTACTTTTCGTACTTTTCCTTTAAATCAGTGTTCTTCGCTAACCTTTTCTCTAATGATTTCAATCTGCTTTCAGCTATATCGCGAGAATCACCTGCTGTGCACTGCGGATCCTGAACTCGAAATGGTAACCGGACTTTGTATATGCCGTCTTCTCTTCTTTTAGTAGTAGCTTTGTAAAATTCTTCACAAAGTTGTTCTTCTGGCGATAAAACCTTTTTTGTACTAATTTCATCTTCAATTTCCCAAAACTGTTTGAGAATTTGATCTAAATTGAACTGAGCGTGAGCTACACTAACGCATGGTTGTGTGTAACTTGAACTATCTTTATTTGAACTATTTATTACTCCAGATAGAATCCATCCTAATGTGGTGTTCTGAGCAATTAAAGAAGTAGTTGGACTTTTGATCATGCCTGTTTTTATTATGCAACCATACACATCTGCGCCTAGTAAAATATCAATTTTACTAGGTTGATTAAACTGTGGATCGGCCAACTGTAAGTTGGTGATATCAAGCCAATTGAAAGCATTTTTATTTAATGCTTGATCTGGTAAGTATGATGTTATTTTACTTATAACATAAGCATTGAAGTTTAGTTTAAAGTTTGAATCTACCTTGGATTGGACGGTGATATTTACCATATATTTAGATAAAGTTAACTTTTGACCTAAGCCTGACACCATTCCACGTATGGGGATTTTCTTAAGCTTCAACAACTGCACTGTGTCCTCGGTCACAAAACAAGCCTGTGAACCCTGATCCAATAAAGCTCTTACTACCTGATAGTTATTCGTCTTGGACTCAGCTTTTACTAGAGCAGTGGCTAGTAAAACTTGCCCAGGAACAGGAACTGTGTTGGTAGATATACAAGAGACTACTGGAACTGAACTAGTCGAAGGACTATCTTCAACGTCAGCCGGTTTTGAAGAAGAACCGTCCAGATTTGGGTGCAGCAAAGAATGATGACGCTTATGGCAAAGTTTGCAAGTTGTTGGCTTCTTACAGTTTAATACCGTGTGATTACCTCCTAAACAATTAAAACAAATGTTGTTTTTCGCTACAAACATACGTCTTTCCTCCAAGGGTACCTTTGCAAATCTTTTGCAAAAGCAGAGCTTATGAGACTCATTACAATACTCACAACGTATGTTGCTTGAACTCACTACCATTGACTTAGCGACATGAGAATGATTGGCCTGATTTTGACTATTTCTCTTAGGCTCGATGAATTCAAGAGCACGGAATCGATTCTCTAAGAACGTAGCAAATTCCTCATAAGTTGGCAATTTATTGGAATCGTGATTACTTAGGCTTAATTCCCATTGTTTACGCGTTTCTGAATCAAGTTTGAAAGTAACTATATGTATGATAATGACATCCCAAGTTGTCACATCTATCTTTAGATTTTTCAAACCATTAAGACAGTCGTTAGTTGTGTCTAGCAACTCCTTTAGAGAACTCGCTGATTCGACATGCATACGTTTAAACCCGAAAAGACGTTTCAAAATACAGTTAACTAAATACTTTTTATTGCTGTATCTTTTCTCTAATTGTGCCCAACACTGGCTGTAATTTGCATCGGACACCGGTGTTTGTCTAACAAGCTGTTCAGCTTCACGACTAAGATGACCTTTTAAGTAGTGCATTTTTTGAACGTTGTCCAAATTATTGTTGTTATGCACGAGTGACACAAATAAGTCTCGAAAAGTTGTCCACTCTGAGTATTTGCCACTAAATTTTGGAATTGATATTTTTGGTAGTTTTACAAAAGAGTTTGTACTTGCGTTATTAGCGCTACCAGAAGTACCAGGTTCAGGAATAGATGTTTTCGGCACCTCATATTTAGCAAGCATGGACTTTATCAAACATGTATAGGTAATATATGTGTCTTCTGTACTATCATATAATTCCGCAAGCATTTTATTCCCCTGTGTTTCATATTTTTCATGCAGTTTAGTGTAATTGGATACAAACAAATTCCAATCCCGTTCTAATAAATCTCGTCTGGTTTGAATATAATCGAAAGACAACCTATCTTTAGGCGACTTTTTAAAATTAGTCAAGCCTCGTTGAATTACGTTTTGAACTTCTTTTAAAAGATTAACTAAACCTTCCATTTTATTGACTGTAATAATAAGAACTCTAATTAAATATTCAAATTTCACTAACTGCAACAATTTAAAATAAATTTCATAAACACTTTGACTCTTTTTTTATGTGACCTAAGTGTAAAATTTTACAAGTGTTTGAACTTTATTTACTGGGACAGAAATCGGGCATAGGTTCCCCGTTCCCCCGTTTTTCATAAAATTATTCTAAGTCTAAGATGTACTAATTACTCTAAGATAAACTAAATTAAAACTAAGTCTTCTTGCTTCCGAGATCACAATTCGATAAAATATTCTAAGTTAGAAATTCCTTTGGAATAGAGTCCAAAATTGCTTGAAATTTCACTTGCACTATTAACAATGAAAAGAGTACTTACAGTTGCACTTCACTTATACATACGACGATTCTTGGTTGAACTGATGATGTCACTAGCACAAGCTGCTGGTGGCGCCGTCTGTACTGCTAATGCTGTCCTCACTCGAAACGTCGGAATTTTCAAGTGTTGCCAGTTGTCCTGAGTGTTGTCGACTTTGCGCTTCTCCAAATAGCTCGGCTGATGATCTTGCTGCAAGGAGTCCGTACCTTTGCCGCAGCAATCCACTGCGAGTACGGGAAGTGAACCCAACGGGCCACTTCGTTTTGTTCTTAAAAAAAAATATCCGGCTCGAAGGACAAATGTTAATTACCGAAGTAATTGATGATCTATGTAGCTAATAATAGGGTTGAAATTAAACCACTTATTACGCTTGAACTGCTGGTTCGTATATTTGAACTAAGTATGAACTGTGAAACTTGAACTGAATGAACTATGATTCTGAACTGTGATTCTGAACTCTAATAACAAAATAAATTACACTCTTATAGTATTTGCTGTAACGAAACCATAGCTTGAATTTAAATCGGGCAACGCCATCTATCGAGCTATGAGACAACTCGTTACAATAAAATATCCTTTGAACTAAACATACATATTATTACATATCTGATGGTCTTGAACACTACTTATTCGACCATCTCACATTAAAAAGGAATTCTACACTTTTAATACAAACCTTGTACTTACAAGGTTCTTATAAGGTCAGATTTTTTTAAAGAACGTTGCCCCTCATTAATCTTCTCCCTGTGTCGTGGGTGCGTTTACAAACATACAAATTCACATACACAACACACCCAAACCCGAAACAACAAATTGTAGGTCACACATATTGTTGTTCCGTGCGGGAATTGAACCCGCGACACGTTGCACAGCAGCCAGTTGCCCAGCCTCTGCGCCAAACGTTTTACTATGCAGTAAAATTTGAAGTCAATTTGAAGTTTGTATTACTAATAAAGCTGATATTATCAGGCACTGAAACTACTAAATAATATGAAAATTCCTCAGAAGCATGTGATCAGCTTATCTCATACATAATTAAGCAACTGTTCAAGATACCGCGTATTGTGTAGAGCTCAAATTAATCGGGTGTCAAGCATCCAACCACGTCGGCTCACACTAGATTAGCTAATACCAACATGTCAACACATTGACTACACGTCACGTCATGTTCTCATAAGGTTATATAATAGGTAGGTATTGTGTCTATGTATGTAGTATATTAAAGCCACGTACGCTATCAATAAAGTTTTGTTACTAAACATTTTTTTAATAAAATTAATGGGGAACAAGAATACAGATTAGGTATATTGAACGTATCCAGAAACTGACAAACTTGTAAGTGTGGGAGAGCCATGCTTCGGCACGAATGGGTTGGCTCGACCGGAGAAATACCATGGCCCCACAGAATACCGACGTGAAGCAACACTTACGTTGTGTTTCGCCGTGTGAGTGAGGTTACCGGCGGCCCTCCTCCGGCGGCGGTCCTCAATCCTCAAATCTCCTACTTTTAAATCCTTTATAATTCACAAGAGGTACTTGACTCCTTTGGGGTTGTGAGTGTCCATAGGCGGCGTCGATTACTTATCATCAGGTAATCAGTTTGTTCGTTTGCTGGCCTATTCTATAACAACAGCCGTTGAGTGACTTCAACATGCAAGTATTCAAATTCAAGCGAAAACACACCTTACAAAATCTCATCTTAACAATAATATTTCGTACTGATTAATCTGTATACACAGTTAAAAGGACGTGATTTTCGGAACAAATATAATTACGTACCTAAGTAAGTAAGTTCCGTACGATCCTATGAATATTTTCCATTAGTCGTCATCTCAAATAGGTCCGGAATGGAATTGTAACAGTAACAGAAGCATCACAGCGCGCTGCGCCCAACGATAAGTGATATAACCATCGTTTTAATATGTGTGGCCACGAAGAATCCGAGAAACATGTAAGATTTTTTTGTAGGATGGCACATACTGACGGCTCATTGAATAATAAGTGAAGTGGTTTCAAGTGACGCCGGAAAGGAGCGGCTCGGACAGTGATTGCTTCACTTCCTCACACATCTGGCGTGAAACAACCACAGCGTATTTTTTTCAATTGACACTCAGTGCAAGAGTTGTCAAACGCTCGTTTTCTGTGAAGCCGTGGCAATACTTAAATACCGGGAAAACCTACCCACTGGTGCATGGCTGTCCCATACTTCTTCTTCTAGCCACATGAATCCTCCAATTTAAAGTTTAATTTAAGTCTCCAACATTATTTTATTCGTTGTAGGACTAACTAATAAATGTAAGTTATTTAATGAACAGTGTTATCCAACAAAATCATTTATTAAAAAAATAAAATTATTCAATCTAGTATCGTATACTCATAACATTACAAAGAAACTGAAGGCGTATAGCAGTATAACTTTTATTTTACAATTAAATCAAGAGGCGTCTCTACTCTGTTTTAATGGCCCGACGCGGAGACAATCTCTTTATTAGACTCCTGTTAAATTTGCAAACGGTGCAAAGCTATATCACGTTAAGGACAAAACGATACCAATATACATAATTTAAATGCCTAAGAACGTTTCAAGAAATCTAATTTAATTCCAAATTAATGATCCAATTTTCAAAAAAAAGTATTTTAACCCTTGTGTAAGTAGTAGACCAAACGATTCACATTTACATTTGTTTTATTATCAAATATACATATATTTTGAACCTACCGTCAACTGTTTCGGTATCGTCAAGCCACGTGCTTTATAAAAAAAAATTTGTTTAGGATAATAAAAAAAATTGAACATCAAAATATACAAAACACCTCAGAATATGTGGAAACATAAAATAGACAACAACGCAGCTGTAGAAATGTAGATGCTCTATACATCTCTGCCAAGTTTGCTGAGGAAAATCGTGCATGATATTACGTTGTTATGATAAAATGATATGTCTTTCAACCCTTCCTGTATGGTATGCATGAGACTTGAGTGCTGCTAAAGATTGCATTAGTAATTTACTATGGAGTTGTAGAACACAAAAATAAATATTCATCCATTACTAGCTACTCTCGCACGGTTTCACCCGCTGCTTAGCTCCATTTGATCGTGATGTTTTATAGCCTATAGCACTCAGGAACATTGTTGCCATCTATCAGTGAAAAATTTTGGCAATCCGACCAGCTGTTTCAAAGATTACCTCCTACATACAAACTTACAAATTTTACCTCTTTATAATATTAGTATAGATTGACGAATTCTCCAAAAAGCAAGACAGACCTAAAACGAGAAGTGAGTGAGCCATCTTGGCACATTGGAATTTCGAAACTCATTTGTTTTTCTATGATCTTAATGTATGCCGTAAAGTTATTCCTTAATTATTATAATGACCGTCCATGATAATAATATGATGAAATTCAGTTTTCTTGTGTTCACTTTAATTATTACTAGCTTTTGGCCGCGACTTTGTTCGCGTGGAATACTTAGTGACTTCCTGCAGATTATTGGTTTAAAAACTATGTCCTTTCTTGAGTTTCAAACTACGTCTTAACCAAATTTCACACAAATAGGTTCAGTAGTTTAGGCGTGGAAAAAGACAGACAGACAGACAGAGTTACTTTCGCATTTATAATATTAGTTTGGAAGTTTGAATTGTACACAATGTTCTTAGTCGTGTTATGGCATTATTTTAATAATATTTATTCGTAAAAAATAACAAATATGTTTACTTAAGTACCTCAAACCAATCACCAGTTATTAATTTAAGGACTCTTATTTCCAAAGCTTTGTAAGTACAAGCTTTTCAATCGCAGACATCATTTGTAAGATCTTTACATTATATCAATGAAAAGGCACCCAGAGGCAATTATTTACAGATTTTCCCTTTGTTTTGCTTCAGAAACGAAATTTATTTACATTATGCTCGTATTATTTAACATTAATAACGTCCTTAATGGCATTCATTGTTATTTAAGTTGGCTATTTGCTGGGTAAACAACTCACGTATTGTTTAAACATCGTTTGTTATAATTATTGTATGCAGCACAAAACAGCCGCAGTGAACCATTTTTACTCTTGTTTCTGTTGTTGGTTTCATGGATAATATTTTTTTTTTTTCTATTTATTTAATAAATAACAGTTTGTCTGTGATCAAGGAGCTTAAATGAGTGCGTAAATTTAAAACTATTAATTAATCTAAACTAATATTGCGAAAGTAACTATGTCTGCTTGTGTGTCTTTTCGTCGCACCTAAATCATTGAACCGATTTCTGTAAAATTTGGTACAAACATAGATTGAAACTCGTAAAAGGACATAGGATAGTTATATGCGTGGAATAATCGTGGAAGTCACGGGCAAAAGCTAGTCTATTATAAATATTAAAAAGTATAAAAGTGAGACTTGGTGGCAGTTCCGTGATCGGTATTTAACCTATCACAATACCACCAATGGGTTGGTTACTGTAAAGTAATACTTATCAATTTCTTTTCAAGTTTTCTCTTATATATTATTATGTATGACTATACCGATCAACCTATAACATTCTTACAGCATAATTATTATCCAGAGAACTAAAGAATTTCCTTCTTTTATCGTTTGCAACAGCTCATCAACTAAGTTCAACAGCCACCACAAATATCTGATGCACTTTTAGCGTCAAATTTCAACTCCCGTACCGATCGCACCTAGAAAATGTTTTACGGGAAGCCGGGACGGAGGTACCTGCACTCGATAGCAATGAATACGTGATCATCACGTCACACAAACTTCGTGAAGGTACTCGGTATACATATGTAAAGAAAAGAGACCTTTTTTGACACTGACTTTAAAAATGTTAGATGTGCATGAGACTTTCAACTTGGACAGCAAAAATATGAAATGAACCGTCGTCGGCGGTATTCAAGAACTGATACGACGTTCAAACCTCCAAGAAAAGAACGTATTTCTTCATGAAAGAACGACAACGCAGTTGTGAATACTTAAGCCCCGGTTTCTGAAAGGCTTGTCAACGCTAAAATTAACTAATCCCCTGTTAAGTAAATCTCTATCACAAGAGATTAAATTGATTTTAACATTGATCGGCCTTTCGGAAACCGGGGGTAAGTCTCGCATGTGTGTTTAAGCGGCGTTGAAAGGTTACATTGGGTTAAAGATCTGCTCGATTCTATTCTATTCCCCTAAAAATGTGCACATGAAAATGCCACATACATACAACAAAAATATTCCGACTTCAAAAAATAAAATAAAAAGCAAAACAATCTTTTTTTTTGTAGAAATTAATACATGTTTTCATTTAGTCAAATAGAAAATAATATTAATAACCATTTTATACTCTTCAATCTCCTCGTCCTTTTTTTGAAGTCGGTAAAAATAGGTAAATAACTTAGTGATTATTTAAAGTGAAAAAGTGTTTACCGCAAACTGCTTATTCGACCACCACGATGTTTAATATGATTGAAATTTCGTGAAATAAGGGAATCATAACTTAATTTAATCATTATCATAAGCTAATAATGGGCCACTACTGCGCAAAGGCGTTTTCTCAAACGGAAAAGGGTTGACATTAATTATCACGACGCCAAGGCTAATCACAAATTATCTTCTTCTATTTTATTAGCTGAGTTTAAATAATGGTATACGTAGAGTAAAATCGCCAACCCACATTGAGCAAGCGTGGTGATTAATGCTCAAACCTTCTCCGTGTGAGAAGAGGTTTGCTTTGCTCAGCTGTGGGCAATTATAGACTGATGATGATTATGATAGAGTAAAAGAAATAAATTAATGTGTAGTCCAAGATTTACAGAAAAAGTGAAAAACCAAAAAAAAAAACTCTTTTTAAATTGTAAATTCAGCTATGGATTGTAACTCATACTAAAACATGTTATATTCAGTTCAAATCATAAAATGCAATAAATATTTCGTTCAAATGATGTTTTCCAAAAAATTCTGGCATTTCTCGATTTTTCTCCGACATCGAGGATTTTGCAGTGAAGCGAATCCAATGAATATCTAATCAGAGTGTATGGTGTGGTCTGAAGGAATCGAATGCAGGAGTCGGTTATATTTTAAAATTATTTTATATCATGTAATATTTTTATTATTATTTCATCATTTATATATTTTCACATAATTCACACAGTGCACTTAAATAGAAAGTGCGGGATGGCCATGCCTCGACACGAAAAAACCAGATCGGAGTTATACCACGGTCTCACAGAAAACTGGCGTGAGCTGCCCGCAATTCCTTAATCTATTATAAAGACAATATATGTTAATTTGTCGCCCTATAGTAGACATTGAAGCTTTTGGCGACAATTTTATTTTTTATTTTTCAGAAAAGCTATGATCATAGATTTAGCTTTATTTTATAGATGATTGAAATTTTACTAAACAAAGCCTAACTCTAAGTAAAGGCGATAGGCAAGGAGAATTATTGACCGATCTAGAAACAGTGCACTGGCTGGAAAAATATTAAAAAGCAAAAAGCATTCGAATGCGACTCAGTTGAGCGTAATCAATTAAATTATCATTTATTAAAAATCTTCAATCCGTAAAATATTATGCAAATCCATTTTATTCGCGCATATTGTTCGGAGTTTATATTTACACACAAAAAAACCACTTGAATCTAAAATACATTTCCGTCATGTGTAATTTATTGTATGTTTTTTACGGAAATTTATTCGGTAAAATAATGTAAGTATAGAATATGAGAAAAAATCGGTGGCCCGGAGGTTAAGGAGCCCGGTTCTCATGCATGAATTGGGTGTGGGTTCGAAACCTGGCAAGTACCAATGTGACTTTTTCCGAGTTATATGTACTTTCTATAATTATTCAGACACCACTGACATACGGTGAAGGTAAACATCGTAAGGAAACCTGGACTTATAATTTCTAATTATATGTTTGAAATTGCCAACCCGCATTGAGCAAGCCTGGTGATTAATGCTATAACCTTCTCCGTGCGAGAAGAGGCCTTTGCTCAGTATTGGGCACATATAGGCTGATGATGAAGTATAAAATAAAGGCCCCTTCTTTGTAAATAACTGTTCAACGAAAAATGTACTTGTTTTAATATACATAGGTATATTTATGTATACATATAAATTTATATAGTCGTGTATAAAATTAAATATATATCTTCGTATGTGTATATGAACACTCATCATAACTCTCGTTAAAACTCTGAAACTTACTGAACTAGTTAAAAGTTCTTAAAATATGCATTAAAATATCCAGAGAAGATATGACCGATGAGAAAATATGGCGAGTAAAATATTGAAAACAACATTTTATTTCCATACAAACTGTTATGTTATTGGCATAATTATTTTAATATCTAAAAAAGAAGAAAACTTGAAATAAAACTTTTTAAGGCGACGGAGTTTGCCAGAACGTTTAGTATTTACTATAAACATTCCCATATATGTATGTACTTTAATATACAAAGCGAAATTTCGAGCTAAACCGTAAAGGTAACATAAGAGAGAGAATCTTGTAAATATATCTTAAAGCAGATAGCGGTCTCAAGGCTTGTGGGACATAACTCTCAAACTGCTGAAGTGTCAGTGCATGTAATAAGTTCCATTTTGGTGCGACCGTGGCATGTGTCTACACTACAAGTATATGTATGTGTTGTGCCGCGCTATCTGAGAACTGCTTTCAGTTGTAACATGTCTTGGAAAACTTGTCTCTTTTTTACTTGATTTGACTATGTTGTATGCCAATTTGCGTTTAGTACAATGTAATTTAGTAATCGTTGAATGTTTGTGAATTTTGTTATTGTCTGAGAAGTATGAAACTGCTTTTATATGTGGGAGTTTTTGTGTGTTTGGAGGAGTTTAAGTGTAGGAGAGCCATGCTTCGGCACGAATAAGTCGGCTCGACCGGAGTCTATTCTGTGTAAATTGTTACAATAAAATTCCAAGTACTGTATTGAATCTTAACGAACGAAAATTTAAAACTTACCTGTATTAAGCACGAATTGTGTAGACAGGCATACTACAAACTTTCAGATTATATTGAGGATAAGAATGCCTAGCAGCGTGTTGATTCGGCAATTCGAAATTCGAATCTACAATTTGGAATGAGCACCTAGCTTCACTGACGAACAGACTAACAGACTACTTCTCTATTTTGACGTTTCAAAAGTACCTATTTATGGTTTAGTTGGAATAAATGATTTTGACTTTGACTTTGACTTTGAGTGATACCACGGCCTCACAGAAAACCCGCCTGAAATAACCACAGCGTTGTATTTCGTCGTGTGAGTGAGAATACCGGAGGCCCAATCCTTCCCTTCCCCCAATCCCCCCTCAATCCCTAATTCTCCAAATCCCTAATCCCTAAAAGGTCGGCAACGCACTCGTAACTCCTCTGTTGTGGCGGTCCATGGGCGGCGCTGATTGCATACCATCAGGTAATCCGTCTGCTCGTTTGCCGGCCTATAACATAAAAAAAACAAAAAAACATTTTTGATAATTGAACTATCAACATTATGAAATCGGGGTTGCGGGTGTAAGCGCTATTAATTATGTAGGTAAGATGTATCTCCGCTGCCCGGAGCAGGAGCACGGTAGTTTTTAGTCAGTTCTGAATCTGATTCCCGCTCTCGCCTCACCCAGTCCGGGAAATAATAATTGGTTATGATGGTTCTACCTATTAAAAAAACATGTATATATTTATTTACACAACTTCACATATATTCCATACCTGGTATTTATTTACTTACTCTCTCAAACACCATACCCCTATTTTTAACCTACTAACTATTACATACCCATAATAATTATAACCAGCTCTTCATTAAATTCACTCTTGAAAAGGATACAACGCAAAATAAGACTTAAACATAAGAGACAAAGAGTAAGTATTTCTAGGGCATGAAAGATAAGCCTAAGCCGGTATAAGTGAGTGGATAGTGATTCAGTAGTAAATAATGAGCGTTTGAATGAGGTTGATATCGCTTCACTCACCCGCCGGGGAAAGACGACAGTATTGTTGTTGCCCGTATTATGAGGAACGATATTTTCAACAGCTTTTGATACATACTACACGTTACTTTAGAAGTATTTCATTGCTGAATGTTAATATTAAATGATCTATTTATAGAAAATACAATTGAATTGATTGTTTAATGAAGAGAGCATGTAGAACCGTGCAATTAAAATAATATTTTTGTTTTGTAAATTGGCTATAAAGCAGCATTTGAATAAGCATCTACCTATATTAAGTCAACATTATATTTTTAAAAAGTCTGGATGATGAAAAATTATGATTGGCAACTTATGCTTTGACTTTGCTTGCTCAAGACGTCATCCTCGCAATGTTTTCCTTCCCATTCAGTGTTGGATAAGTCATTTTCGAAATTACAATTGCTAGCATTCAAACCTACAGCAAAACCGTGAGTGAGAAACGAGCGCCTTTACTTTCAAATCACACTACAGAAAAAAATATGACAACTATGGAAAAATATACACATTCCTCATTATACGCATCACGCAATCACAAAATATAAAACATGTATTTCGAGGGAATCGATATATTTTCGAATCATCAACACAATAACAGTTTATCTGAATAAGGACATTGTTTTCAGCGCATCGATGTCAAAGATTTAATATTGAAGCAGGAGGGAGCGATGCTACTGCGTCGCCTGAATTATTCAACACACCTGGATACTGATTTTAAAACTATATTTACATTCGAAGTTTGTATGTTGACTCTTGGAATAGCTTACTTTATTGAAACTGCATGTCTTTGTGACGTGGTTTCCAAAGGAAGGCGAGTTCTGAATCATTCAAATGATAATTCCCATGTGTGCTCGTTCTGTCAACACTTTCCAATGGACTTGAATATTATGATGCGGTTTGACTTGATTTCTTTGAAAGTGTTGGTGGATATAAAGATTGTTTTCGTTGTGTTTGTTTGTGGTAAATATCATCGTTTTAAGAGTTTTTGTGGCAGACAACATGTCTGAGTACCTGCTAGTAAGCAATCAGAGCCGCCCATGAACACTTTTTGGGGGTTTGGGGTTCCAAGATTGAGGGTTTTGGGAATTTAGTATGGCAGCGAGTAAGCCCCTGGTAGCGTCCCTGACGTGAAGAAACACAACGCAAGTTGTATCACTCCATTCAAGCCGGTAAATTCGTGCCAAAGCATGGTTCACGTACTTAAATTATCACAAAATAAAATTTTACTCAATTGAATTGAGAACGTCGATCGTCGATATTACTGTTCATAATTTCTCAAACCATTACAATGTATGAGAGTCTATAAAAACCTTATTGCTACAGTATCATAGTAACATAGTAACGGAGAACATTGAAAACAAATGGCGGCAGTAAACCGCGACAATATCAACACATCATAATCAAATAACGAAAGCATATTAATGCGATAACTGACTCTAAAATAGTTACAAACATTATTGGAGAACACTGTTAATATAAGGGTGCGGTCTCAACGAAGGGTTTTTTTTGTCAGGGGAAAATCATCAAATGATTTCTCCCGCCCAGGGTGAGGCCAGTGAAAGTGTCAGACTCTTACTGACTAAAAACACCCCCGTTCCTTCTCCTGCTGCGCGTCGTGGAATCGATGCCCACAGAAAACCACTCTTTATATGACCTAACCTACCTTAATGGCATTCTTTTTTTGCGTTTTTTTGCGTCTTTTTTTAGCAACTGATGTACATTTTTTTTACTTGCAATAAACTAGTGCTTGACTGCGATCCCACCTGATGATAAGCAGTGATGCAATCGTTGATGGTAAGGCGCACTAGTTTATTAAGAGCCTATTCACTCTAGCCTTGAAAACACCTACATATCTTAAGTGCTTTGTATGTAGGTACCAATACCAAATAAATGTTTCCTTTTTCTTCTTTCTTTCTGATCCACCGATTATTGTTCCAGGTCTAAGTGTGATGTGTATAAGAACTTGTGATTTGACTTGACATGTGTTTGTAAATTCACCTCTAACGTTTTCTTATAAAATAAAAAGTAAAAGTGTTCGAATTTTGTTTGATTATCAAAATTCGAACATAAAACCAGTGATCGGAACCGACGGCGACGTAAAAGTACTTTGACAATAAATTGTAGGTACAATATGCGACCAAATGCCACGACATCTAAATATGGTCATATGTATAATTCCAATATCACTACGAGAACAAAATTTACAGATACCCACGAAAATCTTTGCCAAATAACAATTATCGCTGTCCAACCCGCTTCTATAAAACCTCACCCTTACACTAGCAAACTTCGATCCGTCCGCGGCCAATATTTATGTACCCGTCGACGGAACGCAAACACTCGTTAAGTCGGAGATGCACTAATAACTTTTATTATGGTCGTGTTATGACATTTTTCCATTTGCGACTAAGTGCTCAACGTTCAACAATAAATGCAGTGTTACTCTGAGTCACCTTAAGTCCTTATGTGCAGTTTTCTGAAAACAATTTTGTAGCATCTTTTGTAAAGTAAGAGATTACAACATTTTTGGTTCTTACATAAAAATATTTTGTCAATTCATTCATATTGTACTTATCGAAAATAACAAAAATGCAGTGCTGTGTCGCAGCACGGTACTCACGATTAAGAGTCCCGTTGTGAATTGAAAATAGTTGAGTTTTGCTCAGTTGATTTACATGAGTTGCTATTTTCAATAAATTAACATTAGTAAGTAAGTAATTAGACTTAATTTCTTGCTTTTTTGGAGTTTTCTGTCTTCAACATTTAAGAAAACCAACCTGTTTAATTAAAGTCACCAACCAATGTTTGATTCGTTTAATAAAATGAAAGAAAAATATTGAAATTATTATCCTATAAATTCCGATTGTGTCCTAACCCTAAACAAAATACTAATAACATTAGTTCATTATACTCGGCATCACAATACTCTTGTTTACAGGTCTTTGCCTCTGTAGCAGTGTAGTAGACGCAACGGCTAATGTTTTGTTAAAGTCCCGCTTTGTACGGCTTCCCATGTAATTGTTTGAAAACTAATTGAAACAGTATTTATCCAACATTTATGTTCATTAAACATGGTCGTCATAGACTCGTACGTAGAATTCATGGAATTGTTGTAGAGAATGTTACGTAAGCCGCGCTTGTGACAATGTTTCTGAATTCTTAAAACGGGCTGGTTGCTTATTAATTTTGTTTCAGCTTTGAAAGTTTAAGTTATTTTGATTAAATTCTGCGGTTTATATGTAAGTAGGAAAGTGTAGAATACAATATTTTCAACTTTTAGGTACTTATTTTTTGCTAACATTAGTTAGTCTTTAGTATAGTTAAAAATTGTCTGAGTTGATTAGTAGGTTGAGATAAATATATCTCAAATTAATGTAATTAACGGTTAACATATGTAAGTACAACACAGAATAACTTGGATAAATGCAATTTTCTCAATATGTTTTATAGTATAAATTACTAAGGAAATTTTTCAGTTGACACTGCGAGAACTACACGAACGCCAAAGTGTCAATATTTTCATAAATGAAGGTATTATTATCTTATTAAATATTCATTTCTTTGGCCCATCAGAGCACATAAAAGCTTCGGTAACGACAGTTCACAGATTAGATCACGCCGCCCCATGCATAATACAGTACCATTTCATCTAGCGGTTTTTTAACCCTTAAAACTTTATCGTTGGAAATTTCCTATACACAGGATGTTGAATTTTAGCGCACCCGCTGTTCACACGGATTCATATTTTATTAGTAAACTGGTTTTTGATTTGAATATTTCAACGTTTGCCCAAAAATAGTATTGTTCTTTATTTAGGTAAGGAATTTACGTAAAATACAACCTACGCTAGAAAAAGTCAAAAAGATTACGTGTGTATATTCATTTGTTATTTTTGGAATCCATGAGCAGAAGGAACCTAAAAATTTTGCCACTTTTCTTTCTTTTGCCACAGATTACCTTGGAAACACTGAATCAGTGAAAAATAATGTCAACTGCATGAAGACATTGTTATCATTCCATCAACATAACCATTGCTTAGCTATAAGACTTCCAACCAACGCCGTAACAGATTCTTCGGACAATACTTTACACAAAGAGCTTAATACGACTAGAGCTGTACCGTGTACAATTCGCGCTCCCCTAATTAAATTAACTAATGGGGTCAAATTAGGAGAATGCCACGGTTCCCGGCATTCCCGAATAAGGCTTTGATGGCTGGTATAACTGTTCTGTTTCCCAGAGTAAATGGTGTTAAAACAACGATTATTTTCGTTGTTAAAAAGCTTTAAGAACAGGTAACGAACCGAACAATTAGCGCCAAGCATTCGTAATATAATTAAAGTAAAATAATGCAACACAAATACGTATAATGCATATCTTAAATATTTTACATTGACCTCACAAGAATCTACATATCGATGATTTCTTTGCAATACAAATACGTATAATAAATATCTTCAATATTTTGCATTGACCACACAAGAATCTACCTATCGATGATTTCTTTTTTTTTCTTTTCCTCAACTTAGGTATTGTGTTTTCATCTAACTAAGCTAAAGGAAAACAGAATAATATGTACATAACATTGTCTATATACACAACAACAACAAACAAACCAACCAGTAAACACAACTACATACATGTTCTTAAGCACCGAAAATGATAATAGCTACCATTTTTACAAAGAAAACGAAATGGCATTTTACGATCTTCAAAGCTAGATGCTTTTAACTACAAAGTCGGTAACATCGCTTGCATATTTCTCGTAGAATAA